CCCTGACAGAGAGGCACAATCACTGTGTACCCATCTGCAGAGGACATCAAACACAAGTTAAATTTATGCGATGAGACGAATGTCAGTCAGTTTGTTTGTTACTTCATGGCAAATACTGCTTCACGCTTTTAAGGTCACCACCATTTTAGTAAACCGCTTCTTTGTGCAGCACTAAATGCTCTGCTTCAGACAATGAAGCTGCTCACTTGCCAGTTCTTTATGGCAGGTGGTTCATAAACTGACCTGTGGCAGATGGCACAGCGATGTTGCAGGGAGACCGAGGGCTCCGTGGCCTTACTGCACACGCCGCAGACAGAGGTGCGCCTGCGCTGGCAGCCCTCGCATACTGTGTAGCTCTCAAACCACTGTTCAGAGCCAGGAAGCTTTAGCCCTCTCATGCCACAGTCAATACACACACGGCACCGCTGAAAGAGACATTCAAATCAGGTTGGATGGCGGTGAGTTAAATGTGAAAAAATGTTTTTAGGGGAACCTTGGTTGAAAAATTCAAGTGGTTTGTCCATGCAGTTTTAAGCATGAGAAATGAGCAGAGCAACTATGTAAATAAATTGCACAGGCCCGATTTCTGCCTTAAATGGTGATATTACACAGATGAAGGGCATTTAAGAATGAGTCATGTGTTTAAGCTTACTTTGCACTTCCATGAATCAGGGGGCACGGAGTCTATGGCTGGCAGCAGACAGAAGGTGTGGTAGCCCTTGTCACAAGCATCACAAACCAGCATCTTCGAATCCTCCCCTGGTTGCCTGGATGTTATTGAAAAACATATACATTTACCACAAAGTCTTTGCAAACACCATTATAAATACAGTATTGCACCTGAAAATTCAGGATGAACTTGGCCAAAAACTGAAAATGAAAATGGTTTTATGTCCAATTTTAATAACAGAATTATGTTTCTACTTGTTGAAATATAAACATAAAAACTTCACTCAAACATAAATTACCAGGTTAAGTAAAAATGTATTACATCTGTACTATAGTAC